TTTCTCCTAATAAAGTTTTCTGTAAAATAAGTAAAACCATAGCAGAGTATCGAACATAGAAAATAAGTCTTAACTTTAAAAATGGAATCACGGGTTCTTACTAAAAATAACATCACTAAAGCATGAAGTTATTAGCTTTCCCACAACAGCTACTCAAGGATTGATGGGACCTTACTAGTCAATAAAGTATGAGTTGAAAATATTAGCCGAAGCTGAAAGCATAAATCAAATGGCCGATTCCGATTCGGTAATGTAGCTAATTCATCATTTTTCTAAACAAAGAACATGATAGATTTACCCGTGATAGTAGACTGTAACAAGTCACAGAACAAGGAATAGATGAAGCAGTTTTACTTTCTTTCCACTAGTTTTCTTTGATCACCCAACCAGCCCCAAAAAGACACAAAATACTCATTTGAGCACAATTATCGCATCTTTACACCAAATCATTGCAAAAGGGCAAAAATGATAAATCATAACCCAAAACGCTTTCATCATTACTAGAATTTTACTTGCAGAAAACTTAAGAACATGAGATAATCATTTTCATTAAAGCCATTGAAAACTTCAGTAGTCTCATAGAAGCACCGAAAGTTACCCTGATTTAGGAGTTTGCATGTCTTAACAACCGCGTGGTCCCAAAGTGCTATATGGAAGAAACTAATTTTTGCTACTTGAACGAACCCTCTGACCTTCAAGACCTGCAACAGTGCACAAATTATCACAAGGGGCAGGCAATTGATAGTTCAATGTAGGGAATCCAATGAAATTAAACGTACAAGGGGCTCTCAGTGAATAATTTCAGGACAGCTCGGGTGTTGTCAGGCAGTCTAACCGTTAGCCCGTTATGACTTTTCAATTTTCATACTCAAATGACATACTTCTACAGATAACACAACCGAAAGTATGACAATTCACAGAGTAAGTATGCATTTTGGTTCAAAAAAAGTGTGATGGGATGGGGTCGATCCACCTAACCATTGGGTCGTCTCACACAAGAATTTGTGTTCCGGGACAATCATGTCATGATATCCTCTAGTGTTTACACACAGAACATATGAACCTTCACCTATTCAAGTACTATCTAAGAAATTTTGCTTGAATGCTTCACGAGGGATTGCCATTGGCTTACACTAATCCTACAGTGGACTGGTGAATAAGAAACATAAATAGAAACAACAAACCACAAGTGCAGTAGTTACAGACACTAAAATAAAACAGTTAAAAAGTCATAAATTGTTCGAAAAGAGGTTCTGAGAAGATATCATCGATCACATTCTTTTACATAACACATCGACTGCTTCCGGTGACCCAACAAAACAAAGTATGAAAAAAGAGACAATTTCTAATCTGTTTCTCACATCACATGGACAGTAAAATGGGACTTGGCGAGTTCAACAATTAAGATTACTTGTGAAATGTGTCGGCCATTGTTGTTCTTACCCAGAATTCGTTGAGTTCCCCAATTCATTTGAAACAACTAAGCATGGTAGGAGGAAGCCGCCATTATCGAAAGAAAAGAGAGAGCTCTCTATTCGACGTCGAGTGCAGCTGCCTCTTGTGCAGTGTTCGGGTTTTTCAAAGTGGGGGTCGACTGTAACACGGGATTTTTTTCCTCTTGGTTCAAATTTTTTTTTTTCTTAAAAAAAAAGAAATATAACAAAAAAATAATTTTAGATTGTAGGGTCATTCATGTCGCCTATGCCTCCTACCTATCCCATATATATTAATTCAGAACGTGCTGCGCTTAAGTGATAAGTTCGCATGTTTCGAGATCTATACAGCAAAATTATATGCATCGATGTATTTTAATTTTACTTCTAATCCAAAAACAAGTAGATTTAGATTATCTAAAAATATGTCGACTATTTATGGTCATGTTACATGTATTAATTACATTTAAATATCATTTCTTATTATAACCATTGAACTAGTGTGTATCCCGTGCGATGCACGGGTAAAAGTAATTTGAGTACAGAAGATTTCAAAATTATTATTATTTTTTAGTTACTGTAAAAAGAAATTTTGTAGACATAAAATTCCACGCTTTATGTAGATTTATCAATTTTACAAATAAATTGGGATTTATTTTAGGCTTAATTGCTTATAAATGCATGACCTTTTCGAAAATTGCAATTTTATGCACCACTTTTAAACTTGGCAAAAATATGCACCACTTTCATTATTGTTTGCAAATTAATGATCAGGGCCCAATTTCGGGCTTTTCTAGTCGATGTGGCATTATTTTTTCAGACGTGTCAATTATCTCACTTTAACTTGAAAAAACCGAATACACGTAGAAATATCGATTCACTTTAACTTCAATTTAGGGTTTGAGAAAATTTGGAGAAGATCGAAATCGACTGCAGCCACGTTCCCTGCTCTCCTGCCAACTTCATTTAGAGACGACTCGCAGCCATTGGTGCTTTTGTTAGCGTTATCGTTGTTGCTCGCGGCCCTGTGCTTCCTCATGTGGCCGCCCAGCGCCTGCCCCGACCCGAATTCAGATCCGCAGATGGAGCACTCAGGAATTTTCACTTTGCTCTCTATATTCGAACCCTTACCGATCAATTGCGGGGGAGAAACATCGGCGGCGGCGGCGGCGGCGGCGGACAAAATCGATCCACCTTCCTCTCCGACCGTCGGGGAATTATTTCGATTGGGCTTCTTATGGCTCGCCCGGTGGCCGCCCAAAGCCTGAAACGAGGGGAAAGTCTTGCCGCAGGTTTTGAACTCGTATATTTTAAATCCCGATCTGTCCTCTACCGGGTGATTTATTTTTCGACGGTTTGGCTTTTCGTTGTGCATTTTGAACCGCCTCGTGCATAAAATCCGTTCGTATTTAGGGTTTGAGGAAATTTGAGGAATTTTCGGATCGCTGGTCGATTGATGAGATTCGACGTGGAATATAGATTTGAAATAACAATTGACACGTCTGAAAAAATAATGCCACATCGATTAGAAAAGCCCAAAATTGGACCCTGATCATAAATTTGCAAACAATAATGAAAGTGGTGCATATTTTTGCCAAGTTTAAAAGTGGTGCATATTTTTGCAATTTTCGAAAAGGCCATGCATTTATAAGCAATTAAGCCTTTATTTTATTAATGGAGACTAAGACAATTTTGAAAAAAAAAAAAAAAAAGTTATCTATTTTCAAAATTATCCTCTTGATTTTTGAAACAATGCATTTGTAATTTGACTTAATTATTGTAAAATTTCGAAACTTATGGAAAAAAAAAATTAAAGAGTGTTGTAAATATTAATTGGTGGACATTACCTAGATATAGGATTTGCAGGTATGGGCCAGGAACTCATTAGGTCTTTACTCATGTACATTGTATTCCCTTATATATAGGGTTCAAGTGAATGAATAAGATGATGGTTTTAACGGCGTATCTCTTCTCTTTTATTCTTCTATTGATTTCTCTCTTTTTGTCTATCTATCTTACACATATTGACAATCTGTATTACAACACGTTATCAGCACGAGTACTCTACCATCTAAGCGAATGGTGGCGGCATCAAGATGAATGAGAAATCAAGATAACAATCAAGAATTGATGTATGCCCCAGAAAAGAGATCATCAAGATCATAATTATGTCGTCTTCCGCATCAAGTAAGTGTTTCGTACACACCAAATTATTTATTCCAGATCCTTGATGAAGTTAATATGTGATATCAAAACATGTGTTGTGAATAAATAATTTGTATCTGTAAATCTCACGAGTTTATCAATGCGTAATTGGATTGGAGGTTCGATTCATATGTATGTTTTAATTGTTTATGTTTTCGGAAAATTAATGGCATAAATTTCAATTATGTCTTGTTCGCGAATTAATTTCCTGAATATAATGTTCCAATTCGCATAGCCGTCCGTGAATAAAATTTGTATCATGCCACTTTGGTTTGCTAATTATGATAAGTTAATTAAATTTATGAATGATGAGTGGATTTTGATTGGGTGGAAGAGACAGAAGCATGTTCTAGCATTTGAATTGATCAGTATACATATATTCGGTCATACATATGCATATGTACTCGAAATCCTGTATTAAAAATCCATTTGAATTGATCAGCATGATGCATATATAATTGATGGCCCACAGTATGTTTATTGGAGAATTTATGTTAATTTATGCAATTCAAATTATGAACATTATGTTCATGCTTTAGTTCATATTGTTTATGAACATTATTGTTCATATCAGATTCATCAGTTTTATTTATATTTATTTATCTCCAAAAGCGTGATTCAATAGATTGTAATTGGATTCAAATTTAATTATTTTCCGCTGCTGTTGACAATAATAATGGGTTGAATATCAGAAATTTTGTTGTTTTGGATTTATGTGAAACCTGTTATTTTCCCCGATTACTGATTCTGTTTTTGAAAGGCTTAATTTGAGTGGTAAATAATTTGGTTTGGTGCATATATTCATTAGTGATTGTATCGAGCATCAATACTTGAGCATGAATTACTTGCTTGGTGGGATATCTGTACATGCTAAATAAATTGATTACATAAATTAATCAGGCATAATTAAGTTTTTGGGAATGTTGAACCTCTCGAATTATTTGTTCAATTAATTGAAGTGCACTGTTTGATATATTATTTGGGGTATTGTGCAACTTGGACTTTGGTAATTAGTTTGAGTTGATTAGATTCAGACATCAATGTGATTATTTGCATGGGCCTGAATTAGTTTTTTTTTGTAAATTAAAGGTTAGACCTTTAAACCTATTTTTCGGTCTTAGAATTTTAAATTTTGGATTCGAATATTGGTATAAAATTTTATATATATTGAGATATATTATATCATTGGCATGATTTTCGCATAAGGATTCATATATTAATAATGTGGATTATTTTAATATATATGGTCTTAAAAAAAATTTACATGATCTTGGATGAGATGTATATATGTATGTGAAATTTGGTCATAATTGAAATATTATATGTTCGTTTATAAATTATGCACTAAAAGATGTATTATATAATCTGCAAGGTTATAGTTTCACTGACATGAATTATTTGTCCCTAAAAGGTTGAAAGAATTTGTTATGAACAGTTTGTATTCCTGAAGTAATACATGAGAAAAATGAAATCCAACCAAATCAATACTCATGGACACAATATCTTGAGAATAGTGATATAAAAGTAGTTCATTGAGATTGTATTAGTGCCAGAAGCACATGTGCAAAAGTTATTTTTACATGAGATATATGATATAAAATAGTCTATTTTCTATAAGACAATATATTTCCTTGATTTAACTGTCCTTATTTGTATATGAGCATTGCTTGTTTGATATGTATCCACATTACTTGTTAAGATTTGAAAGTGGTAACACACGTAAGATATGTCTAGCAGACATTATCGTCTTGGTAAGGATTATTTTCGATGATGGATGAGAAAAATATTATATATCTTATGTAATGAAATCTCTCATACTTCACTTGTCATACTCCTGAAGAGTTATAAAATAAAAACGTCCACATATATTATTAATTTGTCCATGCATCTGATTACGCATGAAGCATATGTGTTAATTTGAAAATGCGAATTGTGTACGTTGCTTGGAATATATATGGTGAAGCTATCAAAATATGCAATTACGACATGAATTTAGTTTGGAAATGATAGTTGCATATTTGTTTCGTTGTTTTATGCATTGAGAATGGATGCGATCCAAATTTATTGAGCCTAAATTAATTTGAATATTTGACCTTTACTCTAACTGACTAATGAACCAAATGAATGGTATGCAACTTGTATAGTTGTTTTCTACTTATGTCATAAATTGCAGAGCAAATATCCTATTGAATTTTATTCCGATAAATATGAGTTTCCCTGAAGGATTATATAACTAAAAGTATCACTAGTGAATTTAAATATCGACCTAGATTTGGTTATCCTTGATGGATTGGTCCTGTTGACCAGTATCATAATTGCATAAGAATTATCTAGGGAGTATCTTTGAAAGATTGATCTAGTAAATAATCTCGTTGATTTTTGGATAAATTCATGATCTTTTGATTTTAGATCAGCTCTGCATATTCAATATACTCTTAATGAAGTTATGTAACCAGAATGTTACATAGATTGAATCTATACACAAGTATTCTGAAATTATTTATGTTTGCTTGTATATTTGATAAGATGCATACCACAGACTTATATTGTTGATAGTACAATAATAAATTTATATGTCGTTCCCGAAGCACATAAATGGTTGATAGCTACAATAAAAGGCTCACAAGCAAAGTACAGTTGTAGTGCCTGAAGCATATAGTGCTCACTTAGAAATGAATTATTATACTTTGATGCCCAACTTATATATTTGATAATTAGCATGAGCAGTTGGATCATATTGGGCAATTATTTATGATAATTTCCCCCTAAAATGCGTGGAGAATCGAACATTTCCCATTTGCAATTTATTGTTATTTTATTATGCACTATTTTTTTATCACCACCAATTCGTACCTTTATGGGCCTATATTACAAACTAGGTTGTTATCATCCGGATCGGTAAACCTGCATCAAGAGATTCCAAATGACACATTAAAAGGCAGATAGTCATTGAACCGACGTAATTTCAAATACCACCCCGGTTCAGGCAACAAACCGGACCGAAATACCGAAGACCGAAGTGGTCAACGACTACCGAGGTCAACGTCTACCGAGGTCAACATGGAACCGAGATCGTCACCTCCTTAAGCAGGTGACAAGGTGCCTACGAACAACCCTCCCGCTCCACAAGATCCGTCATCATTTATGTGGGACCCCCTGCCTCAAACCGCCCACAAAAAGTAACTTTATCCGAAAAAGTAATGCACAGATCCCAATGTATCAACCCGAAATTACTATAAATAGCGGGCCCATGACATTTGTACGGGGATCTCTCTCCGAACTGAAAAAACTTTACTAAGCAACACGTAAAAGCCCATCACGGCTCTTCACCTCGGTTCACCTCGGACCGAGGCCATTGTCGATTTAATCTTACATTCTTTATGTCCAAATCATTCAAAATTATCCACTTAATCACAAGTTACATCGTTGTTAAAAATCACATAACAACATAGGTATCCTATGATTTTTATACTCCGTCGAATTTTTAATACCTAGAGGCCATTACAGGGGATCAATTTATTACTTGGTACGTGTTTTGCATAATATATGAAGATGTTTTCACGGCATTAGGGGGAAATATAAGCATAAATTTATTAATGTCGTGAAGTTTATTAATGCCGTGAAATATGCGAAATATCAATGTTTTCATTATTGGAGACCACGCAATAAAAATTGAACTTGAAGTTCGTATTATATTTCTGCCAAGAGAAATATATAGTAATAATGGAGTGACCAATTTGTAAATATATAGATGTACCACAAAGTAAGCAAATTCCCTAGGGAATGATTGACTCCTTAATGCTTGAAGCATAAGGTGATATAACTAATATTATGTATGAAAACCCGCGGAAAATGTATATTTAAGAATTAACACTCCATTATAAGAAGCTCCTGAAGAGTTGATCCAGTACATCTTGCACGTGCATCAAACCATTATAGTACTGGAAATGCGGAACGGCCAAAATTAGATGTTATGGGAAATGATTATAAATATGGCTAGTAAATATGAAGTTGCATATATGGTTGAGAGAAAAATATAAATTGAATCAGTTGTCGATAACATACTTGCCTATGTGATTTCTTTACTATCTCAAATAATGATCCGGATCAAAATAATGAAAGTGCTAGAAGCGCTTAGATTGATTGAGATAGAAAGAAAAACTAAGGCAG